AATATTAGGGGGCTCTACTCTTCCTACACTTGAGGAAGTGTTTGCACGACTTCATAGGATTTCTTTGGGGYCTACAGAGAATCCCACACAGTCTGACAGATCAGCATTTGTGATAGCCAGAGGAGGTGGACGTGGTACTAAAGGGGGAGGACATGCCTCCCAAGGAGATCGTGGTGGTTCCGTATTTGGCCGTGGTGGTGGTCGTGACTCGGGGGTAGGCCGTGGTAAAGGAAAAAGTAACTCTACAAGGAAGTGTCCCCATTGTGGCAGGGACGGACATTCGGTGAATTTCTGTTATGATATCCATGGCCCTCCTTCTACATGGGCCAATCATGTAGTAGTTGGTGGGGTTGATGTCAGTGATAACCTCCTTCCACATCTACATCTGTTTCCGGGAAGGAGATGGTAAGTGTACCGCGTGATGAGTATGAGCGGTTCCTCCAGACTACTTTGCAGCATACTACTGTCACCCTTGCCCACTCAGGTATAGCTTGTCTGTCATCCAAACCCTCTCCCTGGATTATTGACTCTGGAGCCTCTGATGACATGACCAGGACTCTAGGTGTGTTCTCTTCCTTCTCTGAAACTTTCACATCTCAAACTGTTACCCTTACCAACGGTTCCTCTTATCCCATCTGTGGTGTTGGTAATGTTGACCCGACTTCTCTTTCTTTATCATCTGTTCTATATGTCCCTAAGTTTCTATTAAATCTTATGTCTGTTAGTAAATTAACCAAGACTCTTAATTGCTCTATTACATTTTTCCCTTTTGTGTTTTACATGATCTCAAGACGGGAAAGAAGATTGGTGGGGGGCATGAGGCTGGTGGATTGTATTACCTTGACGGTGGTGGATCGTTAGTTGCACTTCAGACTTCACTCACTCCTCTTCAGTGGCATTGTCGACTAGGACATCCATCTCTCAAGGCACTTAAGATACTGGTTTCGTCTTTGAGTCATTTGTTGTCTTTACAGTATGAGTCGTGTCAGTATGGGAAACATCGTCATGTTCCCTTCAGTCCTAGAGTTGAAAGTCGTATGTTGAGTCCTTTTGCTTTGGTTCATTCAGATGTTTGGGGCCCGATTAAAATAGAGTCTTATAATGGTTACAAGTATTTTGTCACTTTTATTGATGATTGTTCAAGGATGACATGGATTTATTTAATGAAAGAAAKGAGTGAATTATTTTCCATTTTTCAAAAATTCCATGYTGAAATACGTACACAATTTGGTGTTCCAATCAAAGTTMTTCGTTCAGATAACGGTCATGAATACTTTCTTACTTCCTTTCAACAGTATTTAGAACAGTATGGCATCATTCATCAAACTTCATGTGCATCCACTCCTCAACAAAATGGGGTGGTTGAACGAAAGAACCGTCATCTCCTTAAAACTACTCGGTTTATTCTTCATCATATGAGTGTTCCTAAACGATTTTGGAGTGATGTTGTACTTACTGCGTGTTTCCTTATTAATCGGATGCCCTCTTTCCTTCTTCATGGTCGGTCTCCCTTCTATATCTTGTTCCCCACCTTGTCTCCCTTTCCATTAACACCTCTTATCTTTGGCTGTGTGTGCTTTGTTCGCAATCTGAGTCCTGGA